AAGCTGGGATAAATGAAGCTCCATACCCATTTATGGAACCCCATGCCAATATTGCCACCCGTTATAGAAAAGCATCAGAGGCCAGATAAGAAATTCATGATCAATTAACAATCTTTTCGCTTTAAGCATGGGGCCCTCTTAGCACGTTGGGGCATCATCAAGGCATCAAGTCATCAACACAGATTACAATAAAGGCGCATAAAAGGCAATCGGGACAGAGAACACGTTCTCACCACTGTTGGCCAGTCCATAACAGTCATCACCAAGGTCAGTAATGCTGGTCCATACATTGGGCGTTAGTGCTGTATGCCTGTATCCCTGTCCTCTTGTCCTTATCCATTGCTTTTCTGTTTGTGTTTGGCTCAAAAGGGAGATTTAAATGGAGAAGAAGGAAAGAAAGGAGAAAGATTTAAATATTATTTCTAATTTTTAATATAAGATTTTATTTAATTTTTATTTTAATTCTAAATATAAGATTTTAATCTATTTTGTCTCTTATATTTATTTATTTTCTTTTAAGATAGTCCTTTTAATAATAGTAATTCTAACCAATAAACTTGATTTATAAGAATATTTTAGAAAAAATAATACTTATTTATTACAAATAAATATTTTAATTTATTTTATTAATTTACTCAAATTAATCAATTAGTTTTTATATTTAAGATTAAAAATAGTATTTTCTTATTTGAATTGATAATGGGAGAGGAGAGGAGATGAATTTTTTATGACATGATATATGATACTACCTTCGGTCCTAATTATAAGACCCAGTTGACTTATTTGAAGAGATTAAGGAAGTAAGTTAAGTAAGTTATTTGTAATAAATAAGTGTTGTCATTCCTAAAATATCCTTACTAATTAAGTATATTGGCTAGAACTATTATTATTAGAAGGATTATCTTGAAAAAAAATACATAAATATGAGAGACAAAATGGATTGGGGTCTTATAATTAGGACCAAACAAAAAGTCAAACGGGATCTTATAATAAAGACCGGAGGTAGTATAATCTAATAAGAGTGTACCAGTGACCATCATTTTCCCGTGTAATGTGAGATTCAGAAGAATAATATGAAAATACAAAATAAGCTAAGATATTATATTTTTCTCCTCCATTTTGGCAGGAGAGGTTACGACTTACGAGGGCAGAGGAAGAAAAATTTTAAATTCCCTCTTAAAAACTTCAGAAACCCAAACAAGAGCAATATCTCCCCCGCTTCTCTCCTCTCCCATCACCGCATACCCGGTCCCTGGATTCTGCACAGTGCACCGAGGGCTTCTCTCGATATCCTATTTTCTTTTCAATTTTTTTTATTTTCTTCTCTCATATAAACAAGTAAACCGACTTTTCCTTTTATTTTTTCCCCCTAATTTTCTTTTCTCTCCCATTTTCTCTTGATCCTAGAGTTCTCCTGCAACATCTCATGTAATTATATCCATATACGCAATAAAAATACTTTATTTAAAAATTTATATGTATTTCTAGCATTCCAAACATGTTATAATTTCAAAATATTTTTCTAACATAAAGAAATAAACTATTAAAGTCTTGTAGTTGTGGCAAATAAAAATATAATATAACATGTGTTTAAGAAGTATAGAAGTCTTTATGGTTCACTCTATCAGTGTCTTTTCTTGATTCCTATTAGATCCTTCACCTGAAAATGTTAATACAAGTGATGAGATCTAACGTTTCAGTAACTATTAAAATTCTAACCTATACAAACAAACCATATATGGCAAATAAAAATCTGATTATATGTGTATATATGTATTTGTGTATAAAAATCACAGATTTATACATTTAACTCAATTTTATTTTTAATTCAACAATATAATAACATCATTTTCCAGTATAATGCAATATGCATTATCCCTTATATCACCATCCATCCTTATACCATTAACTGGAGCCATAGACTAACACATAATTTACTAGGAACTAATCCATTTTATTGCATTATTCCAAACTCACCAAAACTGGAGATATATCTGGCTAAAAATATAAAGCTCAAGTTCATACCATAGCACCTCCTTTTGCGAATAAAATAAGGAGGTGTCACATGTCTCACAGCTCTAATGAATTTCTGGCCAAAGAAAAACATGAAAGAATGAGCCTTGACAAGTGCTATCTACTATGTACCGAGCGATGGCATATTACGTGGTAATTTTATATCTATGCAAATCTCTTTCTATCTTTAGCGCCACAATGCAAATGTCATATGCAAATAATATTATATCATAAGTACGCCCTCTATATTATTAAAAATAAGATAACAATAAAATTTATGTATCAATAACTATCAATACATTTAAATATTAATCATAATTAATAGCAATAAATATTAACAAATTAAAATAACATATGAAAACATTTATTAGAAAAGTCATAATACATACATATATTTCAATATGGTATAATAAAAATTAGTAAATCTATAATATAATCATACACAGTTCACATGTACATACAAGAATTTTCAGAATTATCTACTACTCTTTAACTTACAAATAATCACAATACTCCAAAATTCTCAATAAGAGTCTACAAAATTGCACACAAATATTTATTAATAAACTCAAAATTATTCCAAAACTACTCTAAAATTCTAAGACTACCATCTAAATTAAAATTACAAAAATATATTAACTCTCCTAGATCTAGCTATTTAATATAGATATAATATTATTTGCGAATAAAATTTTTTCATACCAAACAATATTAAATTTAATAACTTAAGTATATATATTTTTTGCCCAAAATCAAAATACTTCACATTATATTTTTATTTATTATAGTCTCATTTAAAATTTTCCTCAAACTATACAACTTCTATGAATTATAAACAAACCTAAACTTTATTTAATTTCATAAAATTCTCAATTTATAATTTTTTAAATTTTCAAAAATTATTTCAACTATATATATTTGACTTATTCAATATTCCAACCAATTAAAACCTTAGTAATACATTAAATAACTCAAATAAATTATTTAACTTAAATTTAATAGGTAAAAACATTTTGTATGTCTTGAATGACAAATTTTTCAACTAAAATCTTAATTTAAAATTCTCAAACTATCAAGGAACAAATATAAACTGATTAAATTTTTTTAACAATGTATCTTTAAATTTCTACGATCATATATTGTCAAAACTCTATATTTATTTCATACTTAGATATTAAAATTTTCTCTAAACATTATAATGATACTAATAATATAATGCTCTAAATATATAGAAAATACTCATAAAGAAAATTTAATAAAAAAATATAGCTGTGTATCTAAATGATTTTTAAAACTTATATTACCCTTTAAAACACTAATAATTCTGCTTCTCTCACGCTCTCTCTTCCTGCGCCTTGCTCGACTTTTGTCTCCTGCTCTTCATTTTATTCTATTTTCGTTTATCTTCCAACCACCCAGTCCCCATTTTTTCTTCTTTATCTACAACTCTCCAAAATTCTTTCTTCCATTTAATACAATTCGGTGGAAAAGATGGTTTTTTTTAAATAAAATATTATTTTATTTATATATATTTTATTATAATTTTTTTTCCTCAAAAAGTATGTTACATCTTCCATTTTCCCTTGATGCTAGAGTTGTCGGCCTCTTTTCCATTCTAGTGCTCTGCCCTCGCTTCACGTTGTTGTAATAAACAAACAACACGTTTTTCTCTGCGGTCCGGAATTTGAAATAACAGCGCAACAATGAGAACCGGAGAAAGAGAAAGAAGGAATCGGTTGCCTTGCCGTGCACTCTGCTACCATGCTCCTTTCATATTAACCTTGGATGACGCTTGGCTCTGCCATCGAAACACAACTAAGAAAATAGAATTCATTTGTCCTCATCTCTATTAATCCCAACGGAGTGTATTGAGGAAAAGATCTCAATTAAATCTAATTAAAATATTTATATTTATATTTATATTTTTAATAAATTTCTATTCAAATCAAGAGGTCCAATTAGATTTTTGAATAAAAAGAAAAGCTAGAGTGGATATAGATCTCATTTTGATTTTAATTATTTCAACATGATTTAATTGACTCTATTGCTTTGTTTTTACCTTTTAGCTTGTTTGTTTATTTTTGCTTATGCTTTTTTTTTTCCTTACTATTTTTGCCCATTTACCAATTATTTTGGACAATCAAATTACCACTTTTCATAATCAAACAATTGCAAATTCCTTCTTCTCTGCGTGATTTGATTAAAGTTATGCAGATTATATTGACATTTGTTATTAAAAGAGAATTAAGTGAATTTTATTTTATTTTTGAAATACGAAATGTATTTTTACTTGCCTATCCTCGCACTTACCCTTCAATTTTTATTTAACGCGAGACTTAGAAAGCTTGTACATTTTACATACTTTGGTACCAAAGGGACCAAGTAAGATCATTTATCCATAATGTATAGGGAGAGAAGAAGGAACATGACTGAAGTCCCAGTGAAATTGTTAATTGAACCGAGAGCAAAGGAGGCCATGAGAAAACGGAGATACGCCACTTGGTTAATTAAGAAATAGCACACTATTAATGCACAACACTATCTAGAAAGGGGCCAACAAATTAAAATATTGGGACTCAATGCGGTGATATACACATAACACATGCATAGATATAATACTAGTTCTGGTGCTAAATATAAGAGATAATTAACTAATTTAAATAGATTAAAAAAATTAACTAAGTTAATTATTTGTAATAAATATATATTGTCTTTATCCTTACTAATCAATTATTAGTTAGAATTAGAATTATTACAAAGATTATTTTGAAAAAATATATAAATATAAAAGATAAAGTAAATTAAATTTTATATTTAAAAATAAAATAAAAATCAAACTAGTTCTTATATTAACAACAGAGCTGCCCTGTACTAATTAATCATGTCCCTCTGGCTCTTCGTTCATGTTAACGCACATTTTAACAAGTAGCATGAAATGGCCTCTCTTGACTGTTTCCTTCCAAGCTCTTCCCTACAGTAAGAGGCACAATCTTGCATTCCATTCCTACAAAAATAATATAAAAAAGAAAGCTTTGCGTGTGCGTAAGACAGAGGGAGTGGGGAATTCCATTGTTGAGGGTGTAGTCTGTTTTGGTGCGACACAAGCAATGAAGGCGGTGGTGATCACTAGACCAGGTGACCCAGAAGTGCTTCAGGTACGGGATGTGGCAGAGCCATTAATTAAGGACCATGAGGTCCTCATAAAGGTTGCTGCCTCTGCTTTGAACCGTGCCGATACCTTCCACCGCAAAGGCTTATATGAGCTTCCAAGCGGTGACGCCCCCTTTCTGGGTATGGAATGCTCTGGCACCATTGAAGCCCTCGGTAAAAATGTTACCCGCTGGAAAATTGGTGACAAGGTACATTTTAATTTTCACTTGGAACTTCATTTGTGTTCTTATTAAATTGACAATAATCTATGAAGCAAGACACTTCTAAAATAGGGTCGGATCATCCCATATACTAGATTGTAGTGCTTATTTGATGATAAGCTGGGACTTCCTTAGTGGGATCGAAGATAAAATGTCGTTAATGCGTCATCTCTGAAGGGACTGATTCGGGTTGTTCATGGTAGTGATGAGTTGCACTCAATTGACTCTTCATTGATGCATAAATACCATGGGTAATTCCTGTGTTTTCATATTTGCTAAGGTAAATCAGATTTACTAATGTAAATGATGTAATTTGAGAAATCACCGTGTGTCTAAGCTTCTTGATAGAACGATTGAAGCTGAGTCTTGTATACAGAATTCTGTTATAAATATATGTGCAAGACTTGTTGATATGTGCGAAGAGCCTTGTGATTCTTTGTTGTTTTTCTGCAGGTATGTGCTTTACTCCATTGGGGAGGGTATGCAGAGAAGGTAGCTGTTCCAGTAGAACAAGTTCTCCCTATCCCACCTGGTGTCTCTTTGGAGGATGCTGCTAGCCTGCCTGAGGTGGCATGCACTGTTTGGTCAACGGTTTTTATGACCAGTCGACTATCAGCTGGGGAGACATTCTTGGTAACTAATTGTGCCCAGCTCAAAATAGTTTTTGAATGAATGATTGCATCATATGGCATTGGAAAGCTGGGGATGAGCGGGGAATGTTATAAATACTATGAATGTTTCTGATTTTCAGCATGTAAGGTTAAATTCTTATGATCAAATATCAGAATGAGCTGCTTATATATATATATATATATATATATATATATGTAGCTAATATATAGATAGATAGCCAAGTCTCCATAGTGCTGTCATTCGTGCCAAGTTTTCCTTTAAATAGTCTAAGGACTAGTAATCATCATAGCATGTTTGGATTTTGTTTAGAACATATCTTGGTGGATGATATTGAAATTGACATGCTAAATAAATCAATTTATAGTAGTTATTAGGACTTGACCCAATGACTGAAAGGTTAGGTTCATGGGGGTTCCAGTGGAATTGGTACATTTGCTATCCAAATGGCTAAATTTCAAGGAGCAAAAGTCTTCACTACGGCAGGTCCGACTCTGCTTCTGTTTTGTCTTATATCTTATTACACATGTTGAGTTTTGCATATACTCATGAATCTTAATAATTAAATTTCAGGAAATGAAGAAAAACTAGTTGCTTGTAAAAATCTCGGAGCAGATGTTGTTATCAATTACAAGACAGAGGACTTCGTCGCTCGAATAAAGGAAGAAACTGGCGGGAAAGGTATATCACCTTTTTTTTTGCATTTTTCTATATCAAATAGAAAAACTATTGAAGCTTTTGCATTTAGCCCAACTTTTTTAATCTTTTTCTTTACATTCTTGTTCTTTATCTACGAAGGTTACTTCCCTCGTGCTTGTTATGGAGAAGATTGAATACTGAAGTTACCAATTGCAGGTGTTGATGTCATTCTGGATCACATGGGAGCATCCTACCTGCAGCGAAACCTGGACAGCTTAAACTCTGATGGAAGGCTTTTCCTTATCAGCATAATGGGTGGGGCTGTAGGAGAAGTAAATCTGAATAGTTTGCTCACAAGGCGCCTCACAGTACAGGGTATGGTCCAAAATCTTCCATTGTTATGTTATATGGGCATCAAATCCTTTGGACCTGCATAGGTCATTATAAGCTCAATTCTAAGAATTTTCTCTGAGTATCACCTCAGCTTCGTTAGAGTATTCTTCCCCATAATATTATTCCTTATTCAGCATTTTTTTAAATATCACTTTAGCCTTACAAGATTCTCCTGCTTTCTAGGCAAGGAAAGTCATGGATATAAAGGTCATAGATGATTACCATAATTTGATTTCTTTGTTTGTTGCATAACATGTATCTCTTTATCAAATCTATATAGCAAGTTGTATTGTCAACAAACTGCAAACAGTACCGTTTCATGTGGTGATTTTGAACACAGCTGCTCGCTTGAGATTCAGAAGTCCGGAAAAGAAAGCAGAGATTATTAGAGAGGTGGAGAAAAATGTGTGGCCTGCCATTGCTTCAGGGAAGGTGAAGCCTGTTGTGTATAGGTACTTCCCATTATCTGAAGCATCAGAAGCTCATCGACTCATGGAAACCAGCAAGCATATTGGAAAGATATTGCTCCGACCATGAATTTGTTAAACATAAATGTTTGAGCTTATGGTCCCTACTTGTCACATAAACTAATCTCTTTTTATTTTTATTTTTCATGTCGGAACATCATCTCCTATGTGACGGAATATTTTTAATTTTGAATTGGTTTCTTTTTTCCTGAAAAAAATAATAATCTGTACAAAATATATATTCACTAAAGGTCTAATAAAACTTTGGCACGAAAAAAAAGGTCTAATAAAAATATGAAATTAGCACGGGCATTGTTTTAAACAAACGTAAAGTATCCCGATCAGAGAAAACCGAGACGTCGTATGGCAATCAGGACGGCGTGATTGTTGTTGAGGAGACGACACTGTATTATTTTGCCATGATGCGTGCGGAGGAACACAAGTAACGCTGCTAGGAAGTTCTGCCTTCGGCGAGTGACTTTCCAGCGACAGAGGCGACGAGGTCCTCATCAGAATAACAGTAACCGCGCTGAATCGAGCCGATAGCCTTCAGAGGAAAGGTTCGTGTCCACCCCCCAGAGGTGCGTGCCCTTACCCAGGAACGGGGTGTTCCGGAAGTGTTGAAGCCGTTGGCAAAAAGTTTCCAGGTGGAAAATCGGTGGCCAGGTACTTAACATTAATTCTTCTGAGTTTTGGGTTTGCAAGGTAGTGATATATCTTTAATCTACTTTTTTTTTGAGAAAATGATGAGATGCGAAACATATCAAGGGAACATTGCATCCCAGGTGCCTGGTTGTTGGGTCTCTCAAAAATGGAAAGTTATTCTATTGCTTGTTGTGATACCTTCGCCGTTTCCGTGAATGATGGACCTTTCTTAGTTGGAAACAAGCAGAGCATATGCCTTTCATAGGAATAACCTTTGTGTGTTTTTATGCTATAGTACGCTTAATTTGATAGCTTATTAAATAAGACAATACGTTTAACCTCAGTGATGACTGATGATCGAATATATGGTTATTGGGTTCCTTTATGTTCCTTTGATCAGCATTAACCTCAAGGTTCTGTTTTACTGAGGTGGTGGAGACCTGTTAGTCGTGTAGTGTATGAATAAATTAAAACTGATTTAATAAATAGATGGGGTTTATAGGTATGTACTCTTCTTGGTGGAGGGGTTTATGCTAATAAAATGGTAGTTCCTGCTGGGCTAGTTCTCTCCGTTCCACCTGCAGTTTCTCTGAAGGATGCAGCTGCTTTTCCTGGGGTTGCATGTACTGTGTGGTCTAATGTTTTTATGATGAGCCGGCTATTCAAAGGAGAAACGTTCTTAGTAAATTTTGAGTCTAATAATTAATCTATGAAGAGAAAATTATATTTTTAGTTAACATTCAAAAACTGTGTTGTTTTGAACCAAGTCATTGGATGCAGCATATCTTGTGACTCCCATCTTGTTAATTCTTACTACTCTGAACGAAGCTATGCAGCGTACCAGTACCTTTTTGTATTCTTCTGTTTAATTAACTCTTGTTTGGGTTAGTAGTATACATAGAACTTAGCAACTCGGGTGTTACGTTTGGTCTTCACCATTAATTAGGGAATGCAAGACATGCTTGAATTAGTTTTAAGACTCGCAAGGATGTAAATATAATATTGGATAACATCCATTCATAACTTGAAATATCTTCTATCAATGTATCTATACTTCCTGGAGTATCTTTGCAAAATTATAGATTGCTCAAGGTACAGGTAAATGGCCTGGATTTGTTTTCGTCGGCAGTGCTGTATGACCTTTCTGGAGTCTGTAGTTGTGACTTAATAATGGTTTATGCTAACTTGAATCCTTCAATTCTCAGGTATATGGCGGCTCTGGTGGAATTGGTATATTTGCCATTCAGACAGGTGAAGATCATGGAGTAACAGTATTTGTCACAGCTGGTCCAGTAGTTTTTATACAACTTTTTTCTTGAAAATTAACCTTTATACAACTTTTTCCCTGGAAATTAACTACCTTCAATAGATCCGTTAAAACTGGCCCGTCTCATGGAGCTAACCATGCATCTCTTTGATTGAAACTTCTGAGTAGTGCTTGCCAAGCACTCATTTTTTGAATATGGATTAGCAAACAGTGAAGAGAAATTAGCTTTCTGCAAGGATCTTGGTGCTGATGCATGCATCAATTACAAAACAGCGGACTTTGTTGCGAGGGTAGAGGAAGAAACAGGTGGTCAAGGTATCATCGTGGGTGATTTAATTCATTTCCCAACATAACTTCAATCTCATATCATTATGCTGCTGTTGCTTTATGAACTATGCACTTTGTCTGGGTTTATAGATGAGCCTGAGTTATATCACATGGTCAATTTCTATGCAGGTGCTGGCTTGGGAAACAAAAACAATGGATAAGAATGTGTGACCAGCAATGAATTATTGCCAGTGGTGTACAAATCATTTCCTCTCTCTGAAGCGGCAGAGGCTCATCGGCTAATGGAAAGCGGCAAACATATTGGGAAGACAGCTTCTTCCATGAACCTGAACAAGCCATTCCAACCCAAGCTCTTGACATTGTGACCTCTTTCTATCTATGATCGAGGAGACTAGTGCCGTGCACATAAGAATTTGTAATGCTTATAGCTACATGGTGGTTTTTTAAAAAATAAAGCATCCCGTAATGAATTGATTCTGTACGATACAGCAAATGTAACTACTGTATCCATGAGGATTCTCTTAGGTGATTTTATGTGCAGAAGATGATGGAGTTGTGCATATTCAAGAAAGAATGGAGTGCTGCTATTGACTTAAAAAATGAAAATGAAAATTAAAGATATTTTATCAAAGATTTCAAGAACTCCAAGGATATTTTTATCTGCACTAGTTTCTCTTTTCCTTCATAACCAACATGACTCTTGAATGCACAATTTGTTTACGAGCTAGGCCATTCGCTTTATGGGTTAAATTGTCAAATTCCATCTTGGGTTTTAACTTCATTTGATCTTTGACTCTGGTTCAATGTTTTCCCCTTTTACTAAATCTAAGTCCACAAACATGAAACTCATACTAGTATCACCACAAATTATGTTAGGAAATGTCTATATAGAACTTGAACTGGACGCAATAAAATTAGTAAAATAAATATATCCTGACCATATAGAGCATTTTTTTTTATCATTATTTTGAAAGAATACTCCTTTTTGATGAGGCATTATTGTACAAAGTCATATAAAGTATTAACTCCTTATGCTAGGAAAGTTTTGAAGTTCTAGCAACAAAATTACTAAAACAAATCACTCATGATCATCAGGTCTTCTTATCTATCACTCGTACTTGTCAATCTAATTTCAATAAGGAAAGGTTGCAGGGCATTTTTAAAATCAGGTTGATCCCACTCTAATGAGTTCCACCATGTTCTGGTTGCTTTGATTTCTTCAAGAGCAGGCGTTGTTAACGGATCAAGAGGAAGCCTTTTTAAGGCTTCACAGGATGCTATTTCAAGACTTCTCAAAGAAGGGCAGATAATGGTTCCATCATATATACTCATCAAAAGGGGCATGAATTTCAGTTTCATCCTCTTCAACTTCGGAAACTCAATTCCAAAATTATTACCTCCCATGAAATCTCCCTCTTCTTCTTGCATCACATACTCCATACCAGTACAACTGCGGACACTAATTTCTTCGAGATTCTTAAGTTGAAGTAAAATCTGCCCTGAGAATAGAGTCTTCAGTTTTGGACAGTATTCCACAGTAATGCTCTTCAAGCTCATAAGAGTGCCAGGTCTCACTACGTCCCTACATATCATCTTCAAGTTTCCTAGAACTAAAAGTTCCATCCTTTCTAACATGGATAAAGTATTTTCCTCTTCCTCTGACTCAATTATGCATACGATGTCATCGCACCACCTGATTTTACAGGATTTCAATTGTGTCACATTCACTAGGCACATGCTTAGATTCTTAATATCAGCACAGTCATCCAAATGCAGCTCTAAGGTATTTGGTGGTAGAGAAACTGGATTTCCTCTTAGAACAAATCTTCCACTAAAAGCTAAGCTTCTCTCTTCACAAAACTGTACTTGGGGCTGCCCAATTGTTATCCTGAACTTATCCAGCTGAACCCAATGATCAGATTTGGCATATTGATCAAACACATCTGTATTCCACAAGTCTAGTTCAAGAGAAGACAGATTTGAGGAAATGACTTCTTCTATGGAAGCTCCACCGCTAATTGCTTTGACTGTCATTGATCCCCACAAGCTACCACAACCACCTATCAGCAAGTCTTCCAAAAGGGTGTATTTGGATATTAATCCAAATGGGAAGATTTCAATTCCAGTCTTGGAAAGGTTTAAGCGTCTCAAGTTTCCCAAATTTTGCATCCCATTCGGAAGTTCTTTCATCCTTGGAGAGCAGGAGAGGTCAAGGACCATCAACTTATTCAATTTTGCTAAAGAAGGAACTGTTGATAAATTCCAACAGTTACTCAATAACAAAGCAGATAGATTCTCTAAATTAGAGACTGAGTTAGGCAAGAAATCAATCCCAGTATAGGAGAGATCCAGAACTTTCAGAAACTGCATATTTTCGAAGAATTCATGGGATATATTTTCAGAAAATGAGTTGAATTGCAACAACAGGGAAGTAAGTCTAGGGCACATGAGGTTGTAATTGAAGGGAATATATTTCAAGTCATTTCTCATAAGTGAGACCCTTTGAACATCTTCTGCCCATTCCTCCATCCATTGATGTTTTGTCATTCTAGTCCCCGCTTTACTTATGCAGTGAGGGCTCGTTCTCATGATTGTAATAGCCATATCTCTGATCAAATCGTGCATTCTAACGAATTCCACCGCATTTTGAGTTAGACCTTCTAACAAGCACGCATGTTTTAATTCATTCAATATCATTTTCCCCCTCCTCTTGATTGCAGCCATTCTTCCAACATAACCCAATAAACCTTCCCACATCCAATATTCCATCAGCTCATTAGTATCAATTTGATGACTTTCAGGGTATAAAGCACAAAAGAGGAAACAAGACCTGCTTGTGTCATCCTTTAGCTTGGCATAGCTAAATCTCAAATGTGCAAAGACTGCTTCTTCCATCCTTTCAATATTCGCTGTTGAGGCTCTTAACTCATCTAATGCACACTCCCACTCTGATACATCAGCAGCATTTCTTAAGGCTCGTCCTACTGTGACAATAGCAAGAGGCAAACCTCCGCACTCTCTTGTCACCTCCTTTGCAATCACCTCTACTTCTGCGGAATTTGACACTACTGGTCCAACTTTATACCTTAAGAGATCCCATGCCTCATCATCTTGAAGGGCCTTCACTTCCACGTCCTCATCTGTTTCCATACCTCGACAAACGCTCAACAATCGCGTTGTGATCACCAACTTGCAACCATTTTCGACTGTTGGTATCGGTATTCCAACCGTTTCAAGAGAGAAAGGCTCCCATAAATCATCCAGAATCAGTGCATATTTCCTCCTCCTGTTTAAAGCCTCAAATAGCTTGGCTGCTCTAGTAACATCATCATCAATCATCGAAAGATCTAAATCCAGCTTCTCTCCAATACCCTTCTGTAGTTTTGCAAGACTTGGCTCTTTTGGTGCAGAAACCCACATGACAAGATCAAAATCTCTCCCTTCTAAAAGACGATTGTTGATTTCTGTCATGATAGTTGTTTTGCCCACTCCTCCCATCCCATAAACTCCAATCCTTTTCACACTCTCTCGTGATAAGCATTCCAAGATCCTCGTTAAACTCTTCAACGTTGTGGCACACTCCATTAATGGAGATGCAGGAAGAGTGTACCCTACCTTAGGCAAGTTTTCAGCCACCGAATCATCCAAAACTGACCCTTGTCAAGAAGCTCTTTAACCTCACTGATCTTCTCTTCTACTACTTCTCCGAATTTTATTCGTGAACAAACAAAGTTGAAGGAACATCCATTGTTATTCTCCGTGAGGCTGCTCACTTGAATTTTAACTCGATCAACACTTTTTATCCATAGCTTCACCTCTTCCCGTGGATTCATCCCTTTTCCCAGCCACATTTGATCTAGTTTAGTGTTCACATATGATTTCCGAGCATCTAGCTGTTCCACTAAATCTTTTAGCTTGTTCAAATTCTTTCTTGGTTTTCTAAGATGCCTACACTGTCGTTCAAGCGATTGTTGCAGTGAGTTCTGAGAGAACAAGCAGCTCAGGATGCTTGCTAAAGATCCAACAACATCCATAATCAGTTGCAGACAATTCAAGAAGCATGAAACCTCGGGACCAGTATATAGCAAGGAGCTAAGGAATCATGTTTGTGTTAAAGCATGTTCTGCATTTTTAGCATCGACTGGATAAATGGGTCCTAAGTACACGAAGGTAAATATTCTTGGGAATGATCATTAAGAATCCTCGATGAACGAAACGTGAGAAAGCTCAGCTTTAAGCTTACTTGAGAACGTGATGTTGATTGTTGAAGAACATATCGAACAAGTTGCAGCAAATGGGTTGAACTTATCACTGGGCAGCTGTGCTTCGATTCTGAAATTTTTCGTTAGCTTTCCTTTTAAAATATCTATCCCAGTCTAGTCGTCCAAACAGACTTTTCAAAACGTTGACTTCCAATCCCAATTTACCCACCATAGAAATTATAAGAGTAAACTAATACAAAGTTTATATAAGTATTGGATTTAATATATTTAAATTTACATGAAAAATCAAATAAAAGGGAAAATCTTAAAAAGAATGGTTTTTTTTTGGGCCGGGGGGGGGGGTTGTTGGGGGTGCGGAGCATCAAGCATGCAACGTAAAACGAATAAAAGTTGTTCATATTTTGCGAATTCTTCTAAACAGAATGGTTTTAACAATTTTTTGACCAACAGCTTCAGCGAAATTAAACTATTAAGAAGTTACTAACATCACCAATCAACAATTTTATATAAAATCGCATGCAGTTATTTGTTTGTAATTTAAAAATAAATAAATAATTTTTGCTCTTAATATACATTGTTTTATCCCTTTGGATGTAAGAAGCTTAGTTAAGGAAAGTGGAATGCATTTCTGTGTTTTATAGGGGTTTGGATGGCTGAACCGTGATATTATTCATTCACAAGAAAAGATCAAGTACTTGATCTATATAAATTGCAAAGTGGTTTCCTGGCTAGTTGTTTATAGTAAGGAAAAATATAAAAGAAAATATTTAGCTGCCCTTTATCTTTAAAATTCAATATTAATAAAGAGGAATAGAAAAGTTGTGTTGGCCCCAAATAAAAAAGCAAAGGCAAGGTCAGTCAATAATAAAAAAAATTATGATAAAAAAAGTTCTCTATTAAATCATTGGATTTTTTTTTTCCTATGAAACTCAGGTGCAGCGTAAGGAAACTATTCAATTTTTTTAGGATTAAAAAAAAGTAAAAAGTGCTTAATGTGTAAGTGTAAGAAAACGTTAATTTAATAAATAATAAATGAATATTTGATTTAATATTGATATAAATAATTAAAGGGTTAAGGTGCGCCCAGCACCCCGAACTATTTATCAAAGTGCGTTCAGTGGCCTAAAGTAATTTTGGGTGCATCCAGTGTCCTAAACTAATTAAAATGGTGCATCCATATCCCAGGCTAACAGAAATGTTATGTTTAATTATTACTTTCCTGACTCAGCTTAAAGTTGACCCCAAATATTCTACATGATAGACACATGGGCACCCGATGTGTATTATTCTTACTCAAAAGTCAATTTATTTAGAAGAAGAGGAAGGAAATAAATTCAATTTTGAGTAAGAATAATACATATCAAATGTCCATATGTCTATCATTTAGAATATTTGGGGTCAACTTTAAACTGAGTTAGGAAAGTAACAGTTAAACATAACATTTCTGTTAGCCTGAGATATGGACGCACCATTTTAATTAGTTTAGAACACTGGATACATCCAAAATTACTTTAGGCTAGAGCCAGGAAAACGGGCCGAGCCCGTTTAGGCCCTGAAATTATGAGGGTCGGGTTTGATATTTTTCTCTTAAAATGAAAAATAAGCCCTGGAGGGCCGGCCCTGGAGAGCCGAAGGCTTAAAAGGGCCGGCCCTTTTAAGCCCTTTTATAATTTTTTTATTTTTAAAATTTTTTTATATAATATTAATGTTATTAATTTTTTACATTGTTAATAATATTTCAAATATTTAGTTATTATTATCATTTTAAAATTAAATTTAGTTTTAGACAATAATTTATTCAATTAAATTTTTAAAAAATGGATTAATTTGGACTTTAATAATGATTTGATTTATATTATATGCGTTGATATTTTTAAACTATATATATATTTGGTAATAGAATATTTTTATATTTATATGACTTGTAATTCTATAATTTGAATTAGAAATTCATGAGTTTCAACAACAATGTTTCTCACATTAAAGTAAAATAATAGTTAGATTGCAAAATTTAAAAATAAAATTCTTATAAAGAAGAAAAACTTGATATTTTTGTTACGAAAGAAAAACATACTTATAAAGAAAAGTAATTAATTATAGTGATGATGAAGTTTCAAAACATTAATGATAGTGTTTATTTATTGCACAATTATATTATAGATAAAACTTTTAGATGTTGTTATCTTGTTAATGAATGTTTTAGATGTTCTTACATGTTGATGAATATTTATATATGATGATATTTTATATTTGTGACTTAATTTTATTCATATTTATGTCTTTTATTAATAATTTTATTGGTTTATTTTATATTTTTATAAAAAAATATGATAAATATAAAAATAGTATTTTTTCTCAAACGGACTAAAAGCCCGCGGGCAGGTCCTGACCCTGTAGCTTAAGGGTCGGGCCTAGCAAATTGGGATATTTTTAAAATTTCAGCCCTGGAGGGCCGGTCCTTTTAAGTCCGTCAGCCTTGAAGGGCTGGCCCTGATTCCCAGCTCTACTTTAAGTCACTGGACACACCTGAGTAAATAATTCAGGATGGTGGGTGCACCTTAGCCCATAATTAAATTGACTATTACCTAATTTTGTATGGGAAAAAACAAGAATAAGAAGAAGATATATTGCAGAGGTCTTGACCAAAAACACTGCAGCGGAAAGAAGCAGAGCACTGTCAAATTTGTTCGATCAGCTCGGTCTGAGGGTGAGTGCTCTCCACTTACTTTAGAATCGCCTCCATCGTTTCATAGATCATGTTTGGTTTATTTAAGAGAAGCTGGATACAATTAACTTTATACGAAGAATTAGCCTGACATTTGACCTAATGGTTTCACGATTAAAAGCAAATCACAGCAGCTGTGTTGATGCTGAAAGGCAATTCTAATATTTTGGGCCCCTGTACATAATCTTCCTGTTTCTATCATATTGCGCATCATCCTCCTTCAGTTTCTGAGATGAAAGGGGCTTCTTTTTTAATCTTTTTGCAAACAATTCTCTCTAGTAATAGCAGTGATGGCAAAAACTCATTTCCTACTTGGTTATCTGATAAGCTCTGCATAGCTGAATTGTAAACGATTAAGTGAATATGAGGAATTCCAGTTGTTGAATATATTCCATTACATAAATCTCATAAGGAGGTAGTTGCGGGGTAAATATGTCTTTCTGTATAAAATTTGAGCTTGCGCATTTGATTCCACAGTAGGTTCCTGGCCTCTCGACCTGAATACATGGTCTGTGAGACTGTCTAAATATTTCTCAACTCACTTGATAAACTGAACTTTGGAACTGATCTTGTGCAGATTCTATCATTACGTTTCATCTTTTATCCAATCAATGGATCTCAGTTCGTTGAGTCCTGAACAACTAACTGTGATGGGGTCTGCATTTTGTGTGATGGCCTCCATGCATTTCACAGTGCAGCTATTATCGCAACATCTCTTCTACTGGAAGAACCCTAAAGAGCAAAAGGCCATCATAATTATTATCCTTATGGCTCCCATATATGCAGTTGACTCATTTGTGGGCCTCTTGGATGTCCAGGGAAGCAAAGTATTTTTTCTGTTCTTGGACTCAGTGAAAGAATGCTATGAAGCGCTGGTAAGTAACATTCCCTGATTAAAACATCTGGCTTTGTGACTTTCAAGATGCTACTTTTGTTGGCTTATCAGAACATGCTATGTGGTTCTTTCTTCAGGTGATTGCTAAATTTATGGCATTGATGTATAGTTACTTGAACATATCAATGAGCAGAAACATTGTGCCTGATGAGATTAAAGGGAGGGAAATGCACCACTCATTCCCAATGACAATTTTTCAGGTACATTGTGCATTTATGCACATAGTTGTAGTTTGTAAATTTGTTGAACAAGAAAAAAATCATTGAAAGTGTGTTCTGATTTGATTCTTTTGTTGAATTTTCTTATTATATGTAAGTACCATTCATCAGTAGAAGCATTTTATCTGGAATATTTATTGACACTTAAATCTTGCACATTTTATCAACGTTAATACCTTTTTATGATGAAAAGCACTATCAACCTATCAGATTTCTGTGCAGTAGATACATAGCAGTTCTATGTAATAGCTGATGTCATAGAATTTACTATATTATAATATTGACGTTCTGCAGCCTCGCACTGTTCGGCTGAACCACAACACGCTGAAGCTTCTGAAATACTGGACATGGCAGTTTGTTGTCATCCGCCCAGTTTGTTCCATATTGATGATAACATTACAACTACTTGGGTTTTACCCAAGCTGGTTGAGTTGGACATTCACCATCATTCTCAACATTTCTGTTTCATTGGCCTTGTATTCTCTGGTCATCTTTTACCATGTGTTTGCAAAGGAACTGGAACCACACAAGCCACTTGCAAAATTCTTGTGCATCAAAGGGATTGTTTTCTTCAGCTTTTGGCAGGTAATTTTGCTATCCTTTATTTTCGACATATAAACTGAGTTCAAAGACCACCTGGAGATGTGCAGAAGGTGTGTGTGTGTGTGAGAATGAGAGAGCTAACCTGTAGAAATGATGCTACAGAAAAGCAAAAACCACAAGGACCATCCTCTTTTAGTGAATTTGGATAGGATGTGTAGTGGGAATGTTGGCTGCATGATGACTAGTATATGACTGTAGCTTCAACTGTTTATATGTTGTATGATGTCTGTAAGTAGTGAAGTTTAATGACTGCCTTTTACTTTCGAGCGATAAATACAATGTAGACCACTACCTGCTAGCTACATTTTCCACCCTTGTCTTTCTTTATTCATAGTGGAGGGAGAAACTCTCCCAAGTAGTGAATAAGCAAACTTGCTGAGCATAATTTTAGCTCCAAATTGTATTTTCTATGAGCGCTACCGCTCAACTAGATGCATTGTGCAGTTGGATCTCTTTTAGATGTGAATCTGTAATTATTGATATGTCTGCAGTGTAATGGCATAAAAGTTCACTATAATTCAGCTTTCGATTCACCAATATCCGTGTCTCCTGTGTTTCCCTGTTATTGCTTTACCTTCTATCTAGCCCTTCTTCAGCATCATATCAGTTTTCCTTTGTTTGTTCGTAATGAAATCATTGCAGTTAATATGGCATCATCATCTGAGTTCTGTTTAACATAGGATAACGTCCTTTGATCATACGCAGGGAGTTGTGCTGGAGATTTTGGTGGCTCTAGGGGTTATTCGATCTCATCATTTCTGGTTAGATGTGGAGCACCTTGAAGAGGCAATTCAGAATGTCTTGATATGTTTAGAGATGGTTGTCTTTTCTGTTCTTCAGCAGTATGCATACCATGTTTCACCATACAGTGGAGAAGTAGAATCAAAGTATAAACTAAAGAAAAACGAGTGATACAGTATGTTCAAAGAAAAATAAAAGAGCTCTGAGAATAGTAATGAAAACTGAATGTGTTCTTTCTGCATTTTCACTGGGGGACCTCATCTTATATGCTAGCTCTTTCCTTTTCTTTTCTTTTTTTTTTTTCCGCCGGTAATATGAGCTCTTTGCTCTCTACCATGTGGAATTAGAGGGATGTTTTGGATAAGATATGTAAATGGTTTGAGCTTGTATCAGTTATGAATTTAAGATATTATGTAGCAGAGTTTGAGAATTCATTTTCGTAGAAGTTAAGATTTGGATAATTTGGTGTTAGTGGCTTTCAAACCATCAATATTTGAATATTGAAATTAGCTCTTTTTTGTGGTGGTAAAGACGATTATTAGTCTAATATCTTTTGGTAGCTTATGGGATACATTATTAATATGATGTAACATGTCGTGGCATTCTACAACACTATACATTTCGTACAGTTTTGCTACCGCACAGCTGAAGCTTCTACGAAGGAACTGACAAATATTTTCAGCATTTGTCATTTTTTTTTAAAATTTTGGTAATTATTTTTAGGTTGAATTTGCGAAAAGCCGAAACGCGTCTCAAACTTGGCTAGACATTTCAAAACGCTGAAAATGACTCCGAATATTATAAAATGCAATTGAATGGTCAAAATAGTGATGCTTCTTGGAAAAAGTTATGCATCACAGATGAACAGTTTACCCGTCTCTTAATTGTATACAGCAAACCATTATTTTTATAAAGATATCGTCCGGCACTATTATCTTTTTTAGAGTGATTATAGGGAACAGACTAAAAATGGTCTTATGAAATGCCATCTCTTTCAATACCCTTCTTTAAAACGATCAATATCATAATTAAAAAAAAAAAAACGAAATATTACAGAACAATAGGTCTAAAGTAGTCCATAACATCAAATATGTCTTGCAAAGTTGATTATTCCCGTAAAGACAGTGAGTCTTTCTTTTCCCGTTACATTGCTTGAGCTTGACAGAATAATTGACAGAGCTCTCTGCAAAAGTTTTTGGCCCTTTATATTGTAAATGTGAGGAAGAAGAAGGAGCTGTAGATAACTCTTGGTGCTGTTGACCATTCCATCTTCTACTCTCTCTGATCCCTCAGTCTCATATGAGGAGTGCTCATTTGAAATAGTGTTCTGTTTTGGACTTTGAAAGGATCCACCACAACCCCTTGAAATAGGTGTTCAACTGATTCAGGCCTCATTTTGCAGATGGGGCACATAGATGATTTAGCACATTCCTCTCTTAAAAAATTAGTTTAATTCTTTTCTACAATCGATAATAACTGTTGTTAAGTGCATTATTTTGGTTACGTCTTTATTCTCATCTTATTCCTGATATTCACCGGATCAATCCCCCATTGTGCACGTATTGGTAAAATAAAAAATAAAATACATATAAAAGGCTAGCCCTTATATTCCTGAGTTGGTAGAGGTTAAGAAAATTAATTAAGTTAAATATTTATAAAAATGTATATTAATTTTCTTGAAGTACCTTTTGATTATTTGTATTGAAAATTACTCTCTAGATATAAGCCCACTTAATATGGGTAATCAATAAAAGTTTAGGGAAAAAAATTATAAATTTGAAAGATAAAATGAATTGAAGTTTAATATTTAGAACAAAAATAAACTTATTTACTTATTCTTACATCTAGGACGGGAAGCAATAATTACACAAGGCTAACTAATTCTAGTTTTATACCGGGTAAAAAAAAAAAAAAACTTGCTTTTTTAACTTTATATGACATAATATTTTGGAAAGAAATGTTTTTATACATGGCTTGTTTATTTTTCTATCTTGAATTTTACTGGTTCAATACATATAACCACAGCACAAGAGCTTGTAAACTTGTTTTAAATAACATACGAGGGTAAAAATTATTGGTCACAATACACCAATTTCCCTCCCTTTTGGCACAATCCCTGTTCACTAACTGAATTAACTAACTTCCCAAAACTATACCTCAACGGCATTTTCCCCAGCGCCCTGTGAAACTCCCTTATACACATTCCTCTTCTTCTTCTGTGCTCGCCTCTCCTGCTGCTCAATCCCACTTCTCTCACTCCCTTGTTCTTCTTCTTCTTCTTCTCTCCAGTACCTTCGTCATCGTTCCTTGCATCTCCATAATCCCTAACCCTCTCTGCTCCCACCAATATGGGCCCCACATTCGTCCGATCGGCCACCACGAAGTTCATCAAGATATCCTCACAGTTACGCATCTCATCCACGGTCCTCCTCGTCTCCGCCATCGGAGCCCCACCTTCGCAGCTATAACTGTGCAGATACTCGCTTCTCAGTATCATGAACTTGGTCAGTATGATTGAGTACTTGTCCGGGTGTACCGTGTAGATCCACTCTTTCCTCGACAGATCCAGATCGTGCGATCTGGCGAAGAGGCCGATGAGACGGTGAGGATTGGATGCCCAGACGTGGAAGGCGAACTCGAATGACTTGTGATCCACCGATACGTCATCGTCGCAGATCAGGACGGCGTGGGTCTCGATGGAAGATCGAGGAAGGAATCGGGCGTTCAGGGAGCTAGATGGCTGGCGGATGAGGGAGATTGAAGCTGAGCCGAGGGAGGAGATGGAGAGATTGTGGGCAAGGTGGGTTAGAACGTTGGGTGGGGTTGAGGGGTTTCCCCAGAGGATTAGCACGGAGGATACCAGCGGCGATGCAGAGTATGTGGCGGAGATTGATTGGAGAAGAGGAATGCGGGACTCGGAGTAGCCGTTGATCAGAACCGTGATCTGATCAGACCGGAGGGTCCGCGGATCCCGCTTCGTTCTGGGATCGCACGGGTCCTCCGTTGGCTTTGTCAAACCCGAATGCCCAAGCAGAGGAGCGAAATAAAATACCACAATCACGGCTATCGCCCGCGAATTCATCGTTCCGGAGATAGGGGGTCAAAATGGAAGAAGGTCTGCAAATTTATGAAGGCATGGAATTATCTCAGCCCACCATGATCAATTAACGGAATGGCGAGTTTGGTATTAACGCATGATCGAAGTGCGATTTCATGTTGGAAATGACAACTGCGTTATTGTACAGAAAATTGAGGTTAAAGTTTTCCTTATTAAATAATTAGGTGATAAGGAAGAGTAGAAATAAATTAATCTAATATAATAATGTGAAGTTGATTTTGGATATAATATGTTTATGGTGGGATTGTTAGCTTCATGATGGCTAGTATATGACTGCAGATTTTACTGTTTAGGTGTTGTATAATGACTGTAATTAGTAGAGTTTTTAGATAAAGTTAATGACTTTTTCTTTTACTCTCAGCTATAAATACAATTTTTCATGAGGATCAGCACACACTAACTACTACATTTCCCCAGCTTATATTTCTTTATTCATAGTGGAGCTGGAAAGTAGAAACTCTATTGAGCAATGGATAAGCCAGGCAAGCTTGCGGAATATGATAATTTTGCCTCAACTTTGTATTTTCTATGAACACTAGCGGTCAACTATAGATATGCATTGTGCTGTTGGGTCTCTTATACATCTAAATAGGTTGTTAAGACTCTTGCCTTTTCATAGCGATGGGTCACTACTTTGATCATAGGGAGATGACAGGGCATAAAAGCTCACTGTATGATCAGCTTTCAATTCACCAATAAGGGGATCTACTGTTTCTGCTGTTTATAATGAAATATTTATCACTTTGGTTAAGATGGCATCATCGTCTTGAAGAGGCCATTCAGATTAATGTCTTGATTTGTTTAGAGATGGCTGGCTTCTCTGTTCTTTAGCAGTATGCCTATAAATGTTTCGCCATACAGTAGAGAAGTAGAATCGACTTACAAACTTGAGGAAAACGAATGATACCGTCTGGTCCAAGAAAAATAGTAGTGCTCTAAGCTCTAGGGATAGCGATGAAAAGTGAATGTGTTTCTTTCTGCTTTTTTTCACTGGAGGACCTCACTTTTTACTGAGTTGTTTGCTCTTTACCATGGGGCATCAGAGGAATGTTTAGGATGAAATATTCTCATGGTTTACGATGTACTCGTTCGGTCCTTGTTAAATGTAAAACTCATTTTGTACTATAATTTATATTACAAAATGAGTTCTACATTTATAACCAGAAGGAGTATTAATTTATGAGGTAATACAACATAAATACCAAATTACAATAATTTCTTTTTTATTTTCGAAGGGATAAAAAGCCAGGATTAAGATAAATTGGTGTCCATGACACTCAAACATCAATTTTGAACAGTGAAATTAGTTATTTTTTATGGTGGTCAAGACAATTAATCAAATGTCTTCAGGTCGCTTGTAGGATATATTTCTTCATATGATGTAACATGTGGCATTACACAACACCCTACATTTAGCTTCTAGGAAGAAACGGACCCATATTTCTCCTCCAGGGAAAAACCTACTGAAGCTAATAAGCCAAAACACACCTCAAATGTGGTTTCTGCATGTCAAAACCCTGCAAACGAGTGGAAAGGGTGACGATCACCCAGACATGGTCTGTCCCGATTTAATTTTTTACTTTTATTTTTTTAAGAAGAATTTTAACATGTATGTAGTCTAAAATAAAAATAATTAGTTAAAAGTTTTAAATTTGAAACTGTATTTGTAAAATAGCTATGCTCTTGTTGGAAAAATTTATATATCGTCACAATTTTAAAAATGAGTATAAATATTGGTAAATTGGTGGGTTTGGTTATATTATGGTCAAGATTTTCAGATATGATCTTACCCTCCTTAGGAAAAAAAAATACAAGGAAAAGGACGCTTTTATCTTTTAGCTTTTGACTTGAGGTTGCTGCTGGGTAATACGCGAGAAATTGATTAGTAATTAACAGTGATTAAGACAAGCTATCCAAATCCAAATCCAAATAGTTAGTTTTTGTACACACCAAACCGTAATTTAAGGAGTTTCTGGACGAGGAATATCAACCATGCGATTCTATTCTATTTTGCTCCGAAAAGAAACAAAAAAAATACTAAAATAAAATCACAGGGCTTGAGGTGTTTCTGGGATGTTAGTGTTAGAGGGTAAAGGGATAAAATGGTCGGTTGATTATAAAAACAAAAAAGGGTATGAACTTTAGCTTTCTTTATCCCTTTAAATTTGACTAATCTTACTCACTCCCACTTTCCTCCCACACGTAAATCCAAATCCATTTAAGATCCATACAAAAATTTTAAGGATGTGATTGATGATCTCACCTTCTAGGTTTAGTATCAACGGCAAGGTCAAGGAAACTTTCAACACCTTATATTCACTTCTTGGCAATCGATTTTCCAGAGTCATCTATAAATTCAGTACATAGATGTTGCTATATTAGCATAAGTTGTTTAACTATGTTACATGAAATATTATATATTTAATATTTTCTCCATGCTT